GGCTGCTTTATCGCAACGTTCTATAGCTTTCCTGAATTTTTGCTTACGTTTCCTCGCCTTCGTTTGCTTATTCGTCCATCATTTTGCCTGAGCAAAGCAGTGTCATCGCCCCCGAATCAGAACCCACACCTATGATCTTTAGTTGATCGGTCAGTATTTACAGCATTGATGTTCCCACGTAACTGCTTTCACAAACGGAACATTTACTTTCACAAACACGGGCAAAATTAATTCTCGCATGGTGCAGCAATTTGTTCGCAACCAAGACGGTTACGGTCCGTTTTTTCCAGAGACACAAAAAGGAGATCTCACTAGCATAAAATGTGTAATAAATGGTAAAACGTTGGTGGAGTCTTGGCGGCACAATGATGGTACAAAGGAGGAGGAGAAGGAGGGGTGAGTAAATGTACAAGGGAAAGAAATGCTCGTGCGCCCGGACCGCCAGAAAGCAGTCAAGTTCGCGCCAGAAGGCTGGAGTCGGTGGGGCCCGTGTAGAGAAATTTGTGCAGCCAATAGAAAGCGCCGGGCTCCACAGTCCGTTTGAGTGGCCGCATTGCGGCCAGAAATGCTGCCATTGAGGTTTGTCCGTCATCCTCTAAATACCCAAAAAGTATTACACATGCTAACAAGTGCAATAATCAGCAAACTACTGCTATTTTTGTAGTAGCTCAGGAGAGTAAATGTGTGCAGTAAATGCGGCAAAAACAAAGTCCCTAAGTAGTTCGACTTTGGTGTATTTTCCAAACGGTTCCCTTGTCATACTTATGCTTATATATTTTAAGGTAATAGGCATTGCCTTCAAAAACCCTATTAGAAAACTGTATTTAATACAATACGGAAAAACGTATTTATCGGAAGATTTGAACGTATTCTGTGCACTGAACCTTTGTGTAAAGATGTCGCGGAGGAATGCTGGAACTTAGCCTTGGAGAGAATGCAGACGATTACAACCACCAGTAGCACTAAGCCTAGTTTAAGGCTCTAACGCACGCATACGTGCCCCGGTGCGTCACGGTCATTCGCCTGCTGTTGTGAAACGCTCCTCAGGCCAATGACCTGTACATGCCGACCTCGGCATGTAGATGGTGTAAGAACGATACGTTTTAATGGTATGGTTTCCAAGTAGGGTCTTCGAAAGGTCCTTATGTATTATAGCGATCTACTTAAATGGTTTAAGTAGGTTGAACTAACCATAATCTTCCAGTTTTCTACACGCTATCCGTCGATCCAGCAGGGATTTGATAATGGCATTGAATTGCAGAGCAGTCCTCCGAAGGTCACCGCATACCATAACCGCTTAAGTCGGTATACTAAGCGAAATTAGCATTTTAAATTAACCACGGGAATAACCGCTTACTTAAAAAATTTAAGTAGGGTGATTTCCACAATCTTCCCACTTTTGTACTTCGTTAACCTTTTTTCTAGCTGGTGTTGGTGGTTCCACCAAAAAATATACCTCGATGACCTCGCTCGAGCTTAGGGCACACTCCCCCTACATACGCGCGTTCGCCGTTGGTCGGGCGGGGGGTTAGCAATGATATTAAAGCCTATTTCAGTGTCTTCTCCCAAGGTTTGAGTACGCGACC